GTAGCTCTGTGTTGTTTCTGTTATGGCCTCAGTAACTTAAAATAGCTTGACTGCTGAAGGTACTTGCAGGTCTGCGCCCACAGAGGTTGTACATGCTGTAATTGTTAACAGTGGGAGATCAGTGATGAGCGAGACTCGGCCAAGGTCAACTTGCTGTGTTTTTTCATTTTGTGTCTTCTGTTTGGAAAAGATACAGGTTTTATGTTTATTTTCAGTTTTCTCGGGGGCACTTCACTATTAAAATCTCAGTAGCCAAGCAGTTGCTGTTGTCATGCAATAACTAGGTATGCATGCCAGACTCGTACGTATAATTGATGCACGTTTTTCTCTAAGCTTTGCAGTTTTAAACTAAGATGACTAGATAGATACACCTGCTCTACCCCACAAATGATCAGTTGTTTATCACCACTGGGAAGAGTGTGACCGCTTTGTGTGTGTGTTTCGGTTTTGTATGTAAATGTACTTTCTAAGGGAAAGCAGATGATAAGGAAGTAAAATACTGCTTTTCATAACAGTATGCTATAAGCAACAATAAGTTACAAAATGTTTAAAGGTTTGTGTAAGATACATAATCTGCCCTTGTACTAGCATGCCCAGGTTTCAGCTGATGTAAAATTCAGCTTCTCTGAACCATAAATGCCTGTGCTTCATGAGCTGTATTTAAACTTGACACTCAAAAGAGAAATCTGCTTAGTTTTCAGCAGTGTTAGGCCAAATTTAAGAAGCAGTGTGTTGCTGGAGTACTTGGGCCTGGAATCTCAGTAGATTTCCTTAATGTCTTCCTACGCAGGTTGACTTTCTAGTCTGAATTGTAGCTGCACTTGCAGGTTCAGAACTGGTCTGCATTATAGAAGCCTCACATTGTGTCCACTGTGGCTTAATGTACTAGAAATAGTTGGCTTTGCAGTTGGCATATAAGGATCCTCCTCTAATTGAGTGTGTTATTAATTGGGCTTGCCTTAATTATGTGGGTGTAAAACCTAAGTGTACTTGCCCTCTATTCTTCAGTCACTCTGTACAGTTTTAAGAGGAGCAGACTTTGCTTCTTTCAAATGTCTTGCAGGCTGGAAAAGCAGTGACTCAGCCGTCTTTGCTGTGGTTGTCCAGCATTTTTTTTCTCCTAGCCTTTGTACGGTATCTACTAGAGAAGCTGCAAAGCTTTTAGCCCTATAAAACTAGAGGTTTAAGTGGTATCAGGCAAAGCAGTGATGAAGAAAAACAGCAAAATCAGCAGCCGCTAAGCGTTTTATATATACTTATATATATATATTTTTTTGTATTTCAGGCACTATTTTTGCATATGGGCAGACTGGAACAGGCAAAACTTTCACCATGGAAGGGGTCCGAGCAGTTCCTGAGCTTAGAGGAATCATTCCCAATTCCTTTGCCCATATATTTGGTCACATTGCCAAGGCAGAGGGGGATACAAGGTAAATATTTTTCTCTTTACTGCTTCCATCTTTTGTTCATGCACCTGTGGCAGAATCCCTGACCATGACAACAGCAACTGAAACTTACTTCTGGCCCCAGCTGAAGGACCTCAGCGATTCTTGACTTGGTAGCATGACTAGATCGGTATACTGCTGCTTTTTCTTTGCACTATGTGTTTGTGTATGTTGGGCTTCAACAGCTGCTGAAGGTCTCCCACCCACCTATTTATCTTCAGGTTTTTGGTTCGTGTATCTTACCTGGAAATTTACAATGAAGAAGTGCGAGACCTGCTAGGAAAAGACCAGACACAGAGGTTAGAGGTGAGCCTGATGCTCTCGATCTCTGATGCTTGTCTGATTTAAGTCAGTGAGCAATATTACATTTTTAAAGACCAGAGACAGCCCTTGAAGGAAAAGGAGTAGGAGGTTGAGATCTTCAGAACTTTATTACTTTTTCAGAGATACAATAGCTGGATATCGCAATTGACTTCTCTGAATCCTTTCCCTTTCGTCAGTTGTATAGTGAGAAACTGTCTCTTTCATTTGAGTGAGCGTGGTGCATGCAGTTCCATCCCAGATGTCCCTGGCAATATTTCTAGAAAATAGAGGCTGAGATTTGAAGTCACTGTCTGCCACCAGGGGAAACCAGTGGAATATTGTCCTGCATGACTCTTCCTTAGCCACTCTGATTCAGAGCGCTGGCGTGTTATGTCCAAACCAGAACCTGGAGGAGTAAATTACTCTACTGTTACAGTGTCATTGAAAACTGCTATTCAGGGCTGTCCCAGGGATGTGCCATCTAAACTGTTTCTGTCTTAGGTTAAAGAGAGACCTGATGTGGGAGTTTATATCAAAGACCTATCAGCCTATGTCGTAAACAATGCAGATGATATGGACAGAATCATGACTCTGGGCCACAAAAACCGTACGTAGCATTGCTGTGGGCAGGGTTTCAGCTCCACTGTGTCAGACCGCATTACAGCGTGGAGAGTTGGTTATGAGACCCCAGTAAGAGGTTTTGTTCCTACTCCTAGTACAAGAGAGCTTTCTCAGCTGAGCAGAACAAAAAGGATCTCTCTGCCTGAATCGCTTTTGTGCAGGGACAGGTAAAGAAGGCTGGGGTCTCCCGCACCAGCCAGCCCCAGCAGGGGCATGGTGAAGGTGACTGCCATACAGTGATGTCATTGAGCATTGCTGGGCTAATAGTGTGTCTTGGTTCTTTTCCAGCTCTGATCAGGATGAACAACAGCTAGCCTAGTGTAGTGCTGTGCTTAGGAAGTGGTTTGTTTTCTGGAAGACTTCTTAGTTAAGCCCAGATCCTTTTACAGACTAAAGCTCTGACTTACTATTGCTCCTGGCATGGATTGCTTTGTCTCTTATTTCTCAAAATGCAGCTGTTTCCAGGGTTCAGCTGGGAACACCTTAGGCACCATTGGTCCTTGTAGTTTTAAGAAGAAACAAATGGGAACTCCCACTGCTTTTGGGACGGGAGCTTGCTGTATGTGTGAAACTACAGCAGGCAGCAACACTTCTACTCCAGACTGGAGAAGTGCTGCAGCTTCAAAGCCCAAGAATACGGTTTGCTGCTGTATGGCTGAGTCTGAGCAGCCATTTTTCCATCCCCTGAAAAACAGGATTGGGCAAAGAGGCAAGGTCAAGTGACTTTGACAGCAGTATTGTTAGGGGAGCGTGTGATTCTTTCTGCAGACATTGTTGCTCTTTCTCTTCCTCTCAATTAAAAGGTTCTGTTGGTGCCACAAACATGAACGAGCACAGCTCCCGTTCGCACGCTATCTTCACCATCACCATTGAGTGCAGCGAAAAGGGGGTTGATGGAAACATGCATGTTCGCATGGGCAAACTGCACCTCGTTGACCTTGCTGTAAGTAGGAGCAGTCAGATCTGCCGTAATGCTTGGTGGGCATGGCAGCTCACTTAATCATGCTACAAGGCTCTGGTCTTACAGGCCGAGTAAAGAGCATGTCTCCTGTCTCACTGGTAAAGCCCAAGACTTCTGTTTGATAGTTGACTTGTGGGGTACTCGGGGCTTTAAATCAGAACTGTACCAGGAAGAGCCTTTAGTGGAACTAGAGCTTTTCCTAATGAAAGGGCTCTCTTACTTTTACAACTTAAACATCAAACTACACTTAACAGAGCACTCCGGACAGCAGAACTGGCTCTACTCAGGAGGGTTTTTTGTCGTTGTAACCGTGTCGGAGAGGGGTTGTGACTCTGCAATTTTGTACTCCCAGGCTCACTCCCTCCCTCCTTCACTCACTTTGAACAAGTGCAACTGTGCTAGTGAAATGTGTCTCTGTAGCCCAAGGCTTACACCGGAGCATCCTTCCTTGGAGAAGGCACAGGAAAGGGGAAGCTAATGACACTGAATGCCTGCATCTTACCTATTATTTACATGATGTGCGTTCAGGTGGCCCTGTTAAACTCCCTATAAAAAAAAATTGCAGTGTTGCTTTTCTCTTCAGGTGCTGATAGGAAAGGTTGGAGACTGCATTCAGCAGCTGTAGCTGAGGTGTCTCTTAACAACTAACTTGTTTCTCATAACGTTTTCGCTTGTAGGGGCAATATAGCCCTCTTTCCAGTTGCATTAGTGTACTAAGAACAATATAGAATCTGCTGGAATTGAAAGCTTCATTTAAGACCTGATTGGCTTATCTCTTTAACCATATCTGATGTGGTTAGCTAGGTCCCTAATAAGAGATGAGGTGGTTGGTGACATGGCTGCCAGCAATACTTTAGGTATAGTTGATCTTGTTTGGAGGAAGGGGGATGAATTAGGGTGTCTTTTGCATTTTTCTCCTGGGCCTAATTCCTGTTATTCCCTTTCCAGGGTTCTGAAAGACAGGCAAAGACTGGAGCCACAGGACAGCGACTGAAAGAAGCTACTAAGATCAACCTTTCTCTTTCCACCCTGGGGAATGTCATCTCGGCACTGGTGGATGGCAAGAGCACTCACGTACCTTACCGTAACTCCAAACTTACACGGCTCCTTCAGGATTCTCTGGGGGGCAACTCCAAAACCATGATGGTAAGCTGAGATGCCCCTACCAGTGTCAGCTGTCAAGTTGTGTCCTTATAGGGAGAGTGAGATGAATTTGTCATGAAAAGAGCTTGGTGTTTGCCTGTTCATTTCAGAGCTCTTCACAGTTGAGAAAACCTTGTACGTGCTTTTTCCTGTCCTTTCTCTTTGCCTTTGTACAGAAGAGGCTCTCAACACAGTGCAAATAAACACATTTGCGTGACATCAAATGGAAAGCCTGCTTGGGTAGGTGAAAGCAACCTTAGTGTGGAGGCAACAGGAAAGTTTAGGAAAGAATGGCACTGAGACTTGCAGAGCTAAGGATGGGTCCCTCTTAAATTACTTATTCTGGGCTCTGACATTCATGTTGTCTAATAGTATCCTCTACCTCCCTGTGCTGTGTGTCACAGTGTGCAAACATTGGTCCAGCAGACTACAATTATGATGAGACTATCAGCACTCTCAGATACGCAAACCGAGCCAAGAACATCAAGAACAAGGCAAGGATTAATGAAGATCCCAAGGATGCTTTGCTCCGTCAGTTTCAAAAAGAAATTGAGGAGCTTAAAAAAAAACTGGAAGAAGGTGAGATTTTTTTTTTTCCCCTGCTCTTAGTGTTTCTCTCTGTACCAGGGCTCATTTTGTTTGAGTGTGAAAAATCTTCTCTTTTTGAAGACATGCCCTGCAAGTTTGGTAGTTGGTTCAGATCCTCTTCTGGCTTTTATTTCATGACTTGGTTCCAGGTGAGGTGTTCCTGTAGCTGAAGGGGAACACCGTATAGCTCTGTTCCCTCGCTCTGAGGGCGAGTATAGCCCTGTCCCGGCAGAGCCCTGGATTTGCCCGCTAGGTGGCACTTGGCACTAGTGTAAGGTGATGGCTCCTGGGGTGGTGCAGCTGTGCCTGGGCTTTGCCTACTGAACAGGAGGGGTCTGGGCACAGCTGCACGCAGTATAGGGCTTTAAAAAGCACTGTAATAAAAGGTCAAACCTCTTGCTTGTTTGAGGAGGAAGGATGCATTTTTCAGGAGAAAAATGACCCAAATTTGTGGAGTTGATGTTTGAAGCACTGCACAGAGAAATAAGAGGATGCTTTAAGCTCTGGAACAACATGGGCTTGTGAGGCTATTAATCCATCAGCATGCAAAGGCTCTATGAGAGGGATTCTTTCTAAACAGTGTCCTTGGCCCAGCATCTCTTTCCAGGTTTTGCCTCTTCCCCTGCAAAAGCTTTTTCTCCCTGCTAACAGTGCAGAATAGCTATGGCAGGAACTCCTATCTGATTGCTTTGTAGGTTAGGAGCTGGGTGTTATCAGTTCACATCCCAGTGTGGTGAGGGTGGCTTGTTAATTTTAGGCTCCAAACTATAGAACAGATGGCTTTGTGGTTGCTAACGGCACTGGGAGGCCTGAGTGTTAAATGCTGGATTTTGCTCTGTTTGGCTTCCGAATTCAGCCTGAAACGTCTCAGCTTCGTGTCTGCAATAGCAACAATGATAAAAGCATTTATGAAAGTAGTTGGTTTCTCAGTTAGCAGCTATGCAGCTTTATGTATACAGCTGTATGTTTAAGTAGCAAGTCTGAGTGAACTTTGCTCATCTCACTGTCTTCTCTTGTGTCTCAGACCGAAATGAAGATTTCGGGAGATCTATTAGGAAAATTTTTTAGCTCAACCCTTCAGCAGTCAAAGGATGCTTTATTCGCAGCTAAAACTGCCCACTTGAGCTTTAACATATACATGCTGACTTCACAGCATTGTGTGGCTTGTCTGTCTTTTCCTGAGTCATTGCGAGCCCTTTGTCCTCTCAGCAGTTAGTGATTTCTGCAGCTGCTCAACAGCTAGTGGCAAACCCTGCTGGCTTTGGACAAATACTGCCGTCAGAATAGCAAGCTGATACATGGTGAAAGAAAATCCATTAAAAAGGACATTGTTCTGTTTTAGGGGAAGAGATTTCTGGTTCTGAGACCAGTGACTCTGAAGAAGAGGATGAAGATGACAATGGGGAGATTGGAGAGGATGGGGAAAAGAGGAAGAAACGACGGGGTAAGGCAATAGACACTCCTGGCAGCTTTCAGTGTCACCAGTCTCCTCCTATCCAGCAGCTGGTGTCAGAAACGGTAGCCAGAGCCAGGCAGGACAAAGTGCAGTTGGAGGGCTACCCTAGTGCCGCTGCAATTATCATGCCTCTTCCAGAAACGAAGTTATCTGCTGTCACTGTAGATGGGCAGCTCCAAGCCTGCGTAGTATCTGCTTCCACTTGGGTAGTTGTGCTTATGGTAACATCCTCTTATGTGGCAAAGCCCTGGTTGCTGCAGGGTGGCTGTATATGGTTTGTTACTTGAATTTCAAACACTTATATTGTGGAACTTCCCCTGCCCACAGAGGTGGGAGGAGGAAGACACCAAAGATCAATGGTAGGCAGGTGTGGTTTTTATAACCATGGGAATGGCTGAAGGGGAATTTTAGCTGTGGTTTAGGCAAAGGATTCATTTGTCTTATGGATGTTCAGTAACTGACTCTTCATTTTTTTGTCTTATTTCATATTGATGGGGGAAAAACTTGACTTTTGTTTGTCTGTGTGCTAGCTGAAAAGCCATATGGGAGCTGCATGTACCTTTTTTGGGACCACTCTGAAAGTTCCCATGGGAAAGTTTGCTTTGTCCTACACCTGTGTTAAACTACTGTGTAGCATCTAGTCTACAAGGGATGCTGCTGAATCTGGAACTACAGGTCGCTATGTGCCGTGAAAATCCAGGAGAAGCTGTGGCTACCAAGGAGCCTGCTCTGCCCCGGAACCTCTCTGGTCTCTCTTTACAGGCAGTAGAGAAGTTGTGCTCAGTGCTATGCCTCAACTTCCAGCTTCTTTACTGTGTTAACGTTGACAAACTGCCTTCTTGTCTTGAAGCACCTACACCTGTTTAAACAGCGTTCCCGTATTAGATGCAGTTTCTTCATTTTGGTATCTGTCCAAGCAGAGTTGTAAGTGACCTCTGCCAAAGGGTCCTTTGCTGGCCGCTGCCTATGGTATTAGTTGTAACACAACTTCTGCTACTTCCCCGCCCTCTGTTTTCTAGAAGCCGCAAGGTTGACTGCTCTCCATCAAGAAAACCCCCTCACCCAATCCTCCCGAGAACCGACCTCCCTCAAAATGGGGCTTGAAAGGAGTAGAGGACAGATAGTTCTGACTTACTCAACTTTCAAAGAAGCTTCTCTAGTCAAGTTCCCTAAGTAAGGGCACTGTTCAGCAGTAGTGGACTAAGTGTCCCTTTGTAAGCTGATTCTGCCTTCTAGAGGGAAAAGTGCATATTGCTGTGTACGTAGGACTGGAAAGGACTCCTGGTCACCAAATCCTCTGCTGCTAATGTCTATGATCTCTTCCAGTGTGGTTTGGTTTTCTGTGATGTTGTTGCTTACAGTGGAAACAGCTTTGGCATGTGTTCTTAAGTTGTAGGCTGGTTAAGATGGGTTTTAACTGAACTGTCTTTCTGAGCATGCCACTTTGTGCTGGTAAATGGTGGCTTTGCAAGCTGAGGCTGGGAGGGATCCTAGCAAATGGTTCCTTATGGAAACATGTGCCTTTTTGAACCAGTTTATTGCCTTTCTGGGTTTCTTTCCTTTAGAACTAACTTCCATCTGCATGTTTCTTCTTCTCTGGGAGTTTTTCTGTGGGGCTCATCTCTGTTTTCCAGGCAGTAGCAGCAGCAGTAGTTCAGACTCCACATGCTCTGTCATAGAGAAACCTCTGGATAAGTCCTTCACTAGTGAGTGGGAGCTCTTAAGTCCTTTAAGCTTTGGTCTTTTCATAATCTGCGCACTCCATTTTGCAATGCCACACTCTCTCCCTGCTGTGTCTGTTGGAAAGACAAACCTGAATTTATAACTTGGCTAAAGCATGCTTTTCCTTTGCTGCTTCCACACTTGAAACAGTAGTTTAACGTGCACATTGTTAGCTAAACACTTGAGAGAATAGGAAGCAATTTGGTATGTTGCTCAAACAAGATTTAAAGAAAGTGAATAGTATCTTTAAAAAAACACATACGCACACATCCCCCACACTGCTTGCAACTCCTGTGTTTTAAACATTCCCTCCTTTAAAATGTCAAGAAAGAAACCTGAGCTAACTTGTTCATGGGAGACACTGTAGTACAAGCATATAAGAAAGCACAACCCACTCTGTCTGGTTGTCAAAGTTATGTTAGACTCTATTTTCCCGATTAGGTTTGGAGAAAATGAGTGGAACAGTTGACGACAATAGAACTTCATTAGCTTTATACGTGCAGGGAAAACTCAAGTATGTTGTTCATTGGCTTTACTGTGGCTTTCTCCCCAAAGGGGAGAAAAAAGTTTAACTGCTCAACTACATTAAGTGCTTGGCCACTGTCAGGCTTAGTTCACAAGAGAACAAGGAATCTGGATTCTAGGCTACCTGTGAGGGAAGTCTAGGCTGCTTCTCCTCATAGATGAGGCCTTGTCCCTTTACAAGCCCTACAACTGATTAGGGATAGCTTTTGGAGAGAGGGAAAAAAAAAAAGGTAAATCAAATCCCAGGCCTTGGCTTGTAGGAACTTCAGCCACTGTTGCAGTTCCCTTGTGTAGACACTATCCACCCTGCTCCCTGTGCTAGGTGTGGAGTCTGGAAAGTCTTACTGTTACGCTTCAATAGAAGTTCTGCTGGCCTCATTAGTGGAAAGTGTCAGCTAAGAGAAAGTATGGTAGCAGTTAAGAAGCTTCACAGCTTAAGGGAGACCTTTGATGGGTCATATTGTTGTAAGTTTGGAATCCTGCTTGCTTCAAATTCGTTCTTTCTGAGTTTGCTTGAAACCTGAATATTTGGATGAGGACAGTTAATAGTAAACAGTTAATAGCTGGCTGATGTGGCAATGGGTGGATCAGTCCCTCTCCCACAAGTTGGTGGAGTGAGCTCTGTTGTGGAAATTGCATTGGGCTCTTGCTGACTAAGTACGGCTGTCCTATGTGCTTTGGGATATTAACTGTCCTCATGTGTGGCCCTTTTTGCATGTGGTGTCTTTCATCATCCTTTCCCTGTCCCCGCTGTGTTATTGCACTTGCTTGAATAACGAAAACTGGCTATATACCTCTATGGAAGCATCAGTTACTGCAAATTAACCTACTAATATCTTGTATAATTAAATAGAGAAATCTTGTACTGAGACTGTGTGTGTGCAGCTGTCCTATAACTGGAAGGAATTGGCTCGGAAACTTGCTTAACACTTAAAACAAGTTCTCTGTATGCCAAGATTTGACAGGTAATGTAACAGAATTGGCTACTGTGGAGAAAACCCTAAGTCTCCTATTCAAGGAGAAATCTGCTGTCTTTGATTGTTTCTTAGGGCATGATCTTTGCGGCAGGCTCACGTGTTACGTTTAGATTCTGCATTGTATTGAATGGGTAGGAGAATGCAGGAGTGAACTGAAGATTATCCTGGATATGCAAAACACTTTTCTTTAGTACAGAAAGTTTCTCTGCTTGAGCATAAAATCATGATGCATTGTTTGCTGTAATGGAGTCTTGTTTCTTAGTGATGATGATTCTGTGTTTCTACTCTAGAAATATGCATATAAAATAATGGTGTTCTGGTGCTGATGATCTTTGAAGTGATTAAGCAATAACATATTTTCTCTTTCCTCCCCTTTTCATACATATGCTGCCTCTCTGCGATTTGCTTTCTACTTCCCCTTAATGCAAGATCAAGCAGGTTGGTGTTAATTGATTTCCACCTCTGTATAATATAGTTACAGAGCTTGATAAAGGGTCTTACAACTGTATCTAGTTCGCTCTTTTTCCCTTAAAATTAAGGACATATAGGGCTGTGTGCTGACAGGTAAGAAGCCTTCATCTAGGCTATGTCTTTATAGGAGGATCTCTGTACAGCTTTTTTTTTTTTTTTTTTTCAGAAAGCCCAGACTTTAGAAGCTTCTTGTCCAAAGATGAACTAGTGAGATATCTTCACCACAGATCTAGAAATAAGTGCTTATTATCTGGCTTTGAAGTTCAGCAAATGGAAACTGAGACATTGTTTGCTGTAGTGCCGAAGTCCTTACTCTGCCCCAAAACTTGGTGTATTCTCTTGCATGGGTCCCTGAACAAACACATGTGTACAGGCACAAACCTGTTAACAAATACCAGTACACCTTTGACCCTCTGCTGAAGGTCATGTTCAACTTTATTTATATACAAACATGATGAAGAAAATAGTGTAGAAGGAAGGGAGCATTTTATTGAACAAAACCTTTTTAAAGTACATTCTGAGCATGCTGCCTATGTCAATGTGAAAAACAGCCCCTTCATAGTAGATAACTTCTGTTAGCTTCTAGGCACTTGGATACTATGGGGTATTTTTCTCTAATCTGGGGAAGAGCAAGACAAAGGATTCATCCCTTTGTAGTGAATAAAGGGGAATTTGAGAAATCCACGTAAGCTATGCTCCCTCTCACTCCAAATAACCTCCGAGGAGCTCTGCGTTCACCTGCTCTGAGGACTTTTGTGATTACGGTAAAAGCCGATTTGAGACTTGTGGGATGATTTCTGAGAGGCAGCCTCACTTTGTTCCAAAGTCCCCGGTTGTTTGGAAGCAGCCCTTCAGGCTGATAGGTTCAGTGAGTTGCTCTGGCTGCTTCCATTGTAACCTCTATGAGATGTACCTTATTTGCTTCAACGGTAGTTGGATTTTAAAGATTCAGTTGATTAAGTCGCAGCAAATCTCGCTACTTTCAAATCTGTGGGTAGTCACTGTTACATAGATCAGATACTTTCTCCTATTGCCTGTCATTTCATAGGGCTTCTCTGAATTGCCCTTGTCCCTGTAGTTTCACAGTAATACTTAATAATTCATAAAATATCTACTTTCTGACCATGCAATAGATACTCTTGCTCATTGTCCTCCGTATGGGATTATTTGAAGGGGGGGGGGGGAATGCTTATCTGAAACTTGAAGTAACCCTTGCTAGCCTAAATTTTTGTAGCTTTAAAACTCAAGGCACTATTTTATTTTCCTTCATGTGGCCCTAAACTATGCAGATTAGAACACTTGAATTTCCAGCTCAGGCTTCTTTTTAGGCAGTGTTCCTTCTCCACAAGTTTATTCTTCGTGTGCGACTGTTTTCGGGGGGGTGGGTTACAATCTATTATTAGTTATGTAGAAAAAAATATAATTTTTTTCTATTACTAGTTAGATTCATTTCTAGTTATAAGTATAAAACCAATAATTATATATAATGATTGTTACATAGCAAGAGTGTTTTATCTATTTATATAGAAATGAATAGAAGTTATATACTGTTCCTCCTGTGTAGGAACTGGTGACAATTGGGCGGAGTCATAATGGCATTTGAAAGACCCAAGGCTCCAAGCTGGGCAGACGTCAGAACTCTTGAGTTCTGACATCTAATTAAATTGTTGTTAAATGCAATTGTCAACTGTGAAATAAAAAGTTATTGTGATACAGAGGTTGTCTTATCTGTGAAGTAACTTATTTTCTGTATCCCTTTCAAAGGAAAAAAGAAGGTTTCCCCTGATAAGATGGTGGAGATGCAAGCAAAGATTGAAGAGGAGAGAAAAGCTCTTGAAACCAAGCTTGATATGGAAGAAGAAGAAAGAAATAAAGCCAGAGCTGAACTGGAGAAGAGAGAAAAAGATTTGCTTAAAGCTCAGTGAGTATCTTGCTCTGAGCAGTTTGTGCACTGTTGCAGATTTTTTTTCCCCCTTAATCTGCAACTTACTTATGGATATGGGGAGGTGCCTGTAATAATTGGTTTTTATAAACTGAACATCAGCACTTACTATTATCAGAGTGAAAGAAGAGCTTCCTCTGTGCTTCCAGAGATCAGAGCACATGTAAAAAGCTTTATTCTTCTGCCACAAACTTTGCCTAGTAGTGAGAAATGGCCTAAAAACTTAAATGAACCCTTTAAACTCGGGAGACCTGGAAAGAGTAGCAATACTATTTTATTGCTTGATCAGTGGACAACAGCTGTGTAGCAAGCCAGGCTTCCTGCAGCACGCTGTTGCAAGAGGGGGTTCATTTTATGTGTAGGAGTTCTCCATGCTGAAGCTGAAAAGCTGCAGGGATCCCGCTGTGGGCTATGTAGATGGGGCAGTCCTGTCAGCAGAGGTTTCCTCAAAGTGCAGCCGATGTTTCTGGTTTGCCCCTCAGCTGCCCTGCCTTGACCCTGTTCACTTGCTTCCCTGCCACTAAGTCCTGATGCAGCCTGTGTGGCTGCCTCTGAGCTTTGCTGTGCTGGTTGGGCCCTAGCAGGGGGAGTCCTGGGGAGGAGGCGCCCCGTGTAACCTGATGATAATGCCGGTGCCTGGCAGCCCCTCACAGAGTGGAACGGCAGAAGGAGAGACTTGTCTTCTGCTGACCTGGTTGCATAAAAGTGATGGGAGCTGGAGCTCAGGGAACTTCCTGCACTTGCTTGCACTGCCTCACCCCACTTAAGCCCTTGGCAGCAAGACAAGCTTTTCCAGCCCTGTGAATAGCGTCTGCTTTGTAAAACTGAGCTGGACCTGGCTGCCTTGGAAGCACCATAGGATAGGAGGCGTTTGGCTTTAACTTACCTTTCTCTCTCCAGACAAGAGCACCAGACCCTGCTAGAGAAACTGTCTGCACTGGAGAAGAAGGTGATTGTAGGAGGTGTGGACTTGCTCGCAAAAGCAGAGGAACAAGAGAAACTTCTAGAAGAATCAAATATGGAGCTGGAAGAACGAAGGAAGAGAGCAGAGCAGCTTCGCAAGGAGCTTGAGGAGAAGGAGGTGGGGTGTGCATTGTAGCTGTTTGCAAACAGCAGTGATGGCAGGGTGCACCATCTTGTGTGTCGGCGTTGTTCACGTGGGCAAATGTGGCTCTGCAAGCATAGCAGAAGCTAACTACTTTGGAGGCCACCGAGATCTGGGAGGGCATTGGTAGTGCTCACGTGTAGGTCAGGGACTCGCAGCAGTAAGATTGCTGTGGGTGTGAGCCAGCCTGGCTAAGACAGGTCTCTGTGCCTTGGCAAAGGCTTTTTCAAGTCTTTCTCTTCCTTTATGCTATTGCATATAGCTTTTTAGGTTGTGTTAACGTGTGGATGTTTATGCTAAATCTTGCACGCAGCAAGAACGCTTGGACATAGAGGAGAAGTACACCAGCCTCCAGGAAGAAGCACAGGGAAAAACTAAAAAGCTGAAGAAGGTTTGGACCATGCTTATGGCTGCAAAATCAGAGGTCAGTATCTGAAGTGCTCAGCTCATGCTGACCTGAGTGACTAAAGCTGGGAAGAGTTAAGCCCTTGGCTTTAACTCTGCAAAAGAGTGTCTTAGGGTTAGAAATGTCTCTGCTTTCCCTTTAGTTTACTTATTTCAAAAGGGCTAATTGAGCCTGGTATCAGAGCTGTACAGGGGCACATTGTGGAGCTTTTCGCCAATAGGCAGTACAGGGGTGTATGTGGGAGACCCTGGGACATTCAGAACTTCAGGGAGAAACGGTGGTTATTTCTACACCAAGTAGCAGACAACTGTCTGCTAGCAGCCTGATCTCCTGCTCTGTGCAACTGCCCAAACGCTCCTCTGTTCTTAACTCTCCTTCCTGCCTGCCTATTGCCCTCTTTCTCTCTTCCTTTATGACACTGGATCACTGTCCTTTGGCTAATATCTGATATCCCTGTTTTATTTAAAAAGTGCATTTGATCTTTGACTTGCCTTGATCTTGCCAGGGACATAACTTCTCTTAATGCTCTTGAGCTGTTCTTAGCTGGTGCAGAGCTTGGGTTGGCAGAAGGCCAATTATTTTTAATGAAACCAAGAACATCATGCTAATTTTAACCTTCTTTCAGCTGGAATGTTTCAGGTGGTTTATTTTTTCAGAGGCAAATATTTTGGTGCTTATAGCCAAACTTTATTTTTATTTCACCAAAGCCTCATGCAAGCAAAAGACTTTTCATGCTGTTGCCATATCTTAAGCTAGCTCTGACTCTGCCTAAAGGCCTGGTTTGTTACCTGCAGATGGCAGATCTGCAACAAGAGCATCAGAGAGAGATCGAAGGGTTACTGGAGAATATTCGGCAGCTGAGCAGGGAACTTCGTCTTCAGATGCTTATCATAGACAACTTCATTCCTCAAGACTACCAGGTAAAGATGAGAGGAAGAATATAAGCCTTTGATGTAGGTTTGTGCTATGTGCACTGAGCCCTCTGGCTTTTATTTTGTCCAGCAAAAAATGGAATGAGTCAGATTCCTTCCTCTTCCTTGAGATGCTGGCAGGGAACTGAGTCTGCTGTGTTGCAGCCCACGAAGTGAGTTGGTGTCAATCTGTGAGCCTTCATTTGCTATGGCTCAGCTGAGCAGGTGCAACTGTTAAGCAACGTTAACCTGGTGGCTGTTGTCTGTGTTTGTGCAACCACCCAAATGCTCCTCTGCTCTTAGCTCTCCTTCCTTCCTGCCTGTTGCCCTCTTTCTCTCTTCCTTTATGACACTGGCTCGCTGTCCTTTGGCTAGTGGCTAGTATCTAGTACCCCTGTTTTACTAAAAAGTGCGTTTTATCTTTGGCATCATAGATTTTCCTTGATCTTGCCAAGGGCATAACTTGTCTTGCACTCTTGAGCTGTTCTTAACTGGTGCAGAGCTTGGGTTGGCAGAAGGCCAATTATTTCTAATGAAACCAAGAACATTATGCTATTTTTAAACCTTCTTTCAGCTGGAATGTTTCAGATGGTTTATTTTTTTCAGAGGGAAGTATTCTATGTTCGTGCTATTTGGTTGGTTAGAACTGGATGATGATGTTAAAGTAGCAGAAGGTGTGTTTGCCAAGTGACTTTCATAAGACCTGGCAGACTTCTGATTGAAATGCAAATGGAAGATTACCAGAGTTAATGAATGTTTTTGGCTCCAAAACTAGCATGATTATGTGAATAGTGAATATCACATTTCTCAGAGGTTTTGATAACTCTGGCTCTTACAATTCCATGGTTGTGGAAGCTGCTTTAGGGAAATAATGCATTATGTGTCAGGGCTTCTGCAATTACAGTGATATACTAATCCCTGTTCTCTCACTGCTTATTCCTCTGATGGTTTAAAAAGTCTATTCAGATACTAAAAATGTAAGTGGTATATTCACTGTGCCCTTGTTCTAGATCTGTTCAAAACTTTTTAAATTTTTACTTAATGTTTACTATGCTTGAAGCTGTGGTTGCTAACGTCTGATATTAGTCCAAAGTAGAGCTTTTGCTTGTTTTCTTTAGTCTATACATATCCAAAGTTCATAAAATCTATGATGTGCTAAAACATAATGCACACTATTAGAAAATATAAAATCTATTTTCCTTAATTTTTGTTTTTACGTATTACAGCACCTTAGTACTATGCTGATGGCATTGGCCTAACTGGAAACCCATGCTTCAGTGGGAACTACAACACATACTATTCGGGGGTGGTGGTGGTGGTGGGGGGGTTAGTGTTTTCTCTTCTGTTGCCTTTAGAGCGCGTATAGGGGTTTTGAACACAGTGTGGTAAAAATAACTTGGAGCGGTCAAAGCTGTTCTTGAGCAGTTTGTCCAGGCTTTTGGGGATGTATTTTTCAGATGCATTTGGAGTGTAGATAGTGCAAGTGTTAAGAATTACTCTCTAAACTCCTTCCTAGGAAATGATTGAAAACTACGTTCACTGGAACGAAGACATTGGGGAATGGCAGCTGGTAAGCTAGCTGATTGAATCACGTACAAGTTAATGTGAGCCCCAACTTTTGAGGAATTTAACTGAGGCCAAAAATACGTTCATACAGCTGTGTGCTGAGTTGTAATATGCACAATGGATTTTAATAACAGGTCTCTTTTCTTCAAGAAATGTGTTGCATATACAGGAAACAACATGAGGAAGCAGACTCCTGTCCTGGATAAAAAGGAAAAAGATGTAAGTGACTATTCCTAAGCATGTATTGGACTGTGGAGGTCTAAGTTCTGCTCTCAGGTGTGCCTATTTAAATATTTATGCCTATTTACAGGAAATTTGTCTAACTTGAATTTTTCTTCTTTTAAAGAGATGAGTTTTCTAGTGTTACAGAAGAACTGTTGCTTGCAGTGTATAAAATGGTTCTGACGTTTTCTTTCCCTTAGCCCTTTGAAGTGGACCTTTCCCATGTTTACCTAGCTTACACAGAAGAAAGCCTGAGGCAGTCTTTGATGAAGCTGGAGAGACCGAGGACTTCAAAAGGAAGATCCAGGCCCAAAACCGGTAGAAGGTGAAGAACTCTGGAGTATCAGTATATAATGGGAGACTTAAACTGGGGATAGCTTAGGTTTGCACCTGAAAACTTAACAAGTGTTTGAAGGCTTATGATTGATCAGAAGACAAAATGCTAAAGTGCTGCACGATGTGAAGTTTACTAATGCCAAGTATAACAAACCAAGCTGAAATGTCTTTCTAGACCTCAGTAAAAACTTGTCTGTGGGAGTCTTGTGATGTCCTTTGCCACATTCCCCTCTTCTGGCTTCTTGTTCACTGGATTAGTTTAACAAGTGACACATTGACAGTGTATATATGGTAATTATAGGAAAGTAATATGCTGTTGGGGGAGACTTCATTGTGGCTTTTTGGTTTTGTTTTTGGTCAGTGCTTATTTAAAAGTTAATACTGTATGGTTTTGATTTGGAATCTGTCTGGTCCCTGTTTTTCTTGGACAGCCTAGTGATGTGCATGCTTATTTTTTTCCTTTTCTTTCTGCTCTCCAAACAGAAAACGTTCTGCAAAGCCAGGAGCCGTCATTGACTCCCTGCTGCAGTAGGTGTTATGGATTCAGGATTGCTGTAAAAATCAGTGAGTGTATAAGACTTGGCCAGAATGTGGAACCCAAAAGAGTTGGCAGAGTTTGACAAAGTGGCTATGAAATCCATGCCTTACTGGTATGGAGCTTTATTTAAAACATGTCCTTTTCCTTAGTTGCCCATATACTGTATGTTATATTAACATAACGTTAAACTGGTACATACGGTGGTTGTGAAATTCTGTGTTAAACAATTTTGTGTTGTGCAGGGAAACGATTGTTGGCAACCCTTGCTGAAGTGTATAGAAAGCAAGGTTCTAGATGTGTGTTTTAAGTGCTAGACATGTTAGCCCAAAGTGGTTGGTTAAACTTTAAAGCTGGTGAATCTGATTTATGTTCTGCTTTGCACATAGAAACTGACAGCTTTCACTGTTTTTTTTCTGTTGCACTGTTTTGTGTGTTTGAATGTGGTTACCGCAAACCTACGAGGTAACTTGATTTGAGCATCAAACCCTTTTATTTAAATAATTCTCATTGTAGCTATTAACCTGATCATTTCGTGTATGACACGCATGCTGCTTTTTTACCCCTTCATCTGCAGTCTTGGTATACAAAGTAGTGTTGGGGAAACCTGAACTACACAAGTCAGATGTCTGGGAAGAGACCGTGTTCTGTTTAAGGGCAACAAAAAACAAGTATGTCAAGCTGTGCTTTTTATTTTTTATTTTCTTGCCTACTTGTGTGTAATCTCCTGGCACTGCAGAGAACGGCCTTTGAGGCAAAGGCAAGAGAACACGTCTTGTTTGTCTCTTCGCTTGAAGACTGTGGTGCAGCATTGCTCTGGCTGCTTTTCATGCTTCTGACTGAGCTGGGAAATTTTTAATTTACATGAATTGCTTTGTTGTAATCTGGACAGCAGAGCTTATTTAAAGGGAATGCCCTGTTGCTAAAGTCTAGCTTTGTCTTGGGGACACTGAACATTACAGTTCCATTTTCTCATCCCTGCTGCAAAGAGCATTGGACCCGTGCTCTATAAACTGAGGATGAATTTGATTCTCTTATTTTAAAATAGACATGAATTGCCTCTTTCTCCCAGAACAGTAACATTCCCTGAAATAACTGATGCTGTGCTTGTCCCTTTGTAGGCTGCATCATCTATTTCTGGCTGTGCTTTGAGAATATAATTCTGATCTCCGATAGTCATCTATCTGTGGTGGCTGCTCATGTTTTTATTTTATATTTATGCTGCTACTACACATAACACTTTGACACATTACTCTTATGTCGTGGAGAAAATGCATCTCCTTTGGATTGTGTGTTAAATAACTAATGCTAGAACATATCAGGTGCAGGTATCCTAATGGTTCCCATGGCAGTGTGATGTTAATTAGCTATAACTTCCACGTAGTCTTAATGTTACCTAGAGTTCAAAAAGCTATGATTACTGACATGAGAGATTGAGTCATTAAGCATGACATGATGAAGAGCAAGACATGGCCTTGGGTGTACTGAGTTTGGCTAGTAGCCACACCTGCAGTTACTGGTACACTCTTGTGAAGTACTTACGGTAGTTAAAATCCGTATCCCCTTCTTACCATTATGATGCTTAATGAGACGTACCTTGTGGATCTATGACAGCTGTGAAATGTCATTTGACAGGTAAAGCTGTTCTTTCAATAGCACACTTCACTCAGGAGATACCTTCAGTGCTATTCTAAGCAATTTCTAGACTTTTTGTTTTTTAAAATACATATTTTTTTCAGGGTTGTAAGCAAGGAGGAGAACATCTGCTCCCTCTTGTGGAGAGGACAAAAGATCTGGCTTTATCACCTAAAATCATAAAAGATGCAAATACAAACACTAGCTTTTTTGTAGCCCAGCATTTAAGACGAGATACTCGGTTTCTGTTTAATCTAAAGTGCAGTTGATTTTACTCTGGAAGAGCTGATCTTATTTTGAAAGTGCTTGGATAAGGTTAAGATATCAAATGTTATGTGTTTCATAAACAAGACAGACTGAAAATGACTCACTGTTCTTTGTCTTAGCAGTTTCTTATGTGGGTTTGTGGTCCAAGCAGATAAACGCATAATTTTGGTCCGTATCAGTTCTGAGAACTAGAGATAGTTGTTGTATTTCGTTGTGTTATGCCTTGCTATTTTAAGACCCCTTGCTGAAGGATCTGTTTTTAAGGGGGTGTCTCCTGAGCTGTGCTTTCAAAAACCAAACCCTGTAGTAAATTGCCCTTTTACTTGACAGACTATCAATGACTTAGATGTCACTGTGAAGCATGACACTGAGTTCAGATTATTTAAAACTGAATTACAAAGGCATATCCTGATCTTCTGATTTAATTCATGTTGCTCCTGAAAGCAATAGTCCTCTAGGTATAACTGAGAGGGCCTTGGGCAGAGAAAATGTGCTTAAACAAAAAAGCTTGCTTGCGCACACTTGTAACTGACACGTTGGAGAGACTGCCTGGGGTTTCATATTAGACGTTTGTTTTGGCGAGCACATCATCTGCTCTTGCAAGAGTATACTTTCTTTAAGTGGAACACTAGCATGGCCATGGTGAAGACTATCAGCTTTGGCTTATCTTTTAACTGTGTTTTTGTTATTGCTTTCTTTTTCCTGGGAATTTTCTTTTAAAATCAGAGCGCCTGGCTTGGAGGTTTACTTTAAGGGCTTCTCTGTAGCCCTGGATAATCTGTGAATGTCTAATGTGCCCATAACATGTTTTAAAAAGGAGTGGCTTTGGTTTGTTTGGGTTTTTTAATGACTTGGCAAACACAGCCGTTCTGATTTCAGCTCAGTAGTTGCTCTATAGTATTTCTCAATATCATATTAACTTATATACACACATACATATATACACACACACACACACATATGTGATGTATGGCAACCTTCCCATCTTGCTACCAGAAGTTCCCTTTCATTCCAGAGCATCAACCTTGAATTGAATTTTTCTGGCTTTATGTTATTTAATGTTGTTTTAAATGAATTATTTCAGATTTAACTTGTTCCTGATTCTCTCTTTGTTTAAGAGGAAGGGAAAATTGTCCTTAGTGCCTTTCCCTAACTTGCATTGTCTGCACACATCCTAATTTCCACCTTTCTCAACAACTCTGTTTAGCCGGTTCTGTATATAGGAAAAAACTACTAATCTGTTTGTATAATTTGTCTTCCTATTTATTGGCTTTCTAACTGTTTATTTCTGATTATTCTTAGTTTTCTGATAAATTCATTATACTGTGTATATATATAATGTGTTGTGTCCCTGGAGCATGTTCATACCATAAAATAAAATTCTTGATTCCTAGTTCCATCTCTCCATGTTCTTTGTTTTTATGCATACAGCTTCTTTCTAACTTGCTGAAAGTTGGGAGAAATGTTAAGATGGGTAGCTAAAATTGTCTCTGTAGCTCTGACGTGTAGCACTTACTGGAGAAGTGCAGTTACCTTCATCCAAGGATCTGAATGTTTTCCAGATATTAGTGGAGCTGGTTGTCTCTGGAGAGAAGATGGAATGCGTTCATATTTTTTACAGATGCAAGTACAGTCATCGCACTTGTATAGTCTGATGTCCTGCACAGATGAAAGTATATAAACTTCAAGTGGTGGTTGGCACCTCAAGTTTAAATCCTGGGTGCACTTCCTCTCTGGGGTAGGCTTCTCGCATGCTGCTGAAACAAATCCGTTGTCAGCTGGGTGAGTTTGAGGAGCATGGGACCCTGTGGCAAAGCCCCAGAGCAGTGGGGCTCCGTGCCCCAGAGCAGTGGGGCTCCGTGCCCCAGCTGGGTGGCTGCGTGCCCCACAGTGGCAGAGGGAGAGGTGGGCTGGGCAGAGCAGGATTGGGTTTTTGCAGGACTCCAGACAGGATCAGTGAGGTGAGGCCAGGAGCCAGGTTAGCTGGAGGTGATTTTGTTCAAGCTCTGTCCTGCACCAGGATAGTCCTGAGCAAGTCTTGGGTAACGGTGTGCAAGCCTGCGGAGACTGTGTGGCTCGAGAGAGCCCAACGGAGCCAGAGCACTGAGAGCAACTTCTTGTCCACTGAAACGCAGCCAGTGCTGCGTGTGTTCCTGCTTCTTACGTATGTGCCCTGCATAGGTGGGTACTGCTAATGGAGAGAGGATTTTTCACGCAGTTTTGGTTTTTAATTGTCTTTGTGGTACTTAGCAGGCCTGTCACATCCTGTATTAGCGCAGATGCTGTGAAGTTGCCTGGGTTGATTAGAAATGCTCAGCTCTTGTTTCCTCTGCTGCATAACCTGTATTGATCTGCATTGCATTTGTTCCTTTGGAAGGTGTCTCAGCCTGTTCATCAGTAGGTAACAGGTTTTTTTTGCGGTCTGTGGATAATTTTGCAGCTCCCTTGAGAGTACTCTGACTCAGTTGATGCACTAACCAAACCCTGCACAGTTCTGGGACTTTCCAAACCCCTCTCCTACGCAATGCCAAATAAGTTGCAAACTGATAAACACCTCAATACCTGTAAGACTCCAGTCACCTATTGTTGGCGACTGACTTAAACCGTAACCCAGCTCTGATGAAGGCTAGAATTGCCTTTTCAAACAGGCAGCTTTGCTCCCTGTTGCTATTTCTCTTTAACTGTCATTGTTGCTGGAGCCTCTTTACTCCTGGCTGGGAACTGCCATGCCAGGCTGTAAACTGAGGGGCTACCGGCAGCCTGCTTAGCTACGGACTCCCTAAACCTGTGCCACTTGCAGCTTGTCAGAACTGGCATCTCCCTTCTTTAGCGCATACGTTTTTTCAAATGCGCAGCATTACGTTTTTCATACTTCGGCACATGGTTCTGAGCTGGTGGTGTGAAAAAGCAGGTCCTAGTCTTGGGCCCTGTTTGAGGCCTGCCTTCTCCCAGATGGCCACAGCTGGCTTCTCCTGGGCTTTCTCTCCGCATGGTCCTGGTCTCCTTGTCTTAATATGAGCCAGCTCACAGAGCAGGACAAATTCCTCCTTCCTGCGGCGCAGGACTCCTTCACCTAGGCCATTCACATTTCTTGCAACTTACATCACAAAATAACAAAATCGTGAGGTTTATTTTCTGACTTCATAGTTTCAAAACTGCTAATTTCTAAGGCCCCAGTTGCCCAGTCCCTGTAGGAAATTATGGCTGCTCAATTCTCTGGTGCCGGCATTGACTGCATGCGCTGTGATTTCAAACCTGGTTGCAAACTTGTCCCTGTCCACCAAAGGGGATAGAAAACGCTCATTCTTTCTTCCCTGCCCTGCAGTTTCCCTCTTCTGTAATCAGCCTGTTCCCCCCCCCTGGTTCTGGACTGGCCTCTGTCCCAGCTTTGTCCCGGCTGCTGCTTCCCCTTGGACCCTAAGCAACTGCCTTCTTCACGAGGCCTCCAGATGTGCAGCTTTCCCTGGTCCCACAAGGGATGGGGGGGGGGAGGTGAGAGAGGGCAGAGCGTGTGTGTCGGGGAGGCCAGGGGCTCCTTGGCTCTCTGGGGCTGCTGTCTGCCAGCTCCTGCCGTCTTGTGCTGCGCGCTCCATCCGGCGCCTTTGAGCTCACAAAGGCTTGCTCATACTTTACAGACGCTGTCCAAGAAACATCATATGCAATATTAGCAAATTTAGTCCAAAAATACATTTATTTAAAAATAGATATAAATAATCTCTGAAAAGACAGTGTCATTACAGTAGGAAGCAAGGTGTTTTCACTTCAGATTCTATAGTCTTTTGCTAATCGTTGGAGGACTCTGTTGAGGTCCAGCAGAAAATCTTTCAGTGAAGTAGTGTTGCCTGCTGCCACTGGACAAGGTGCCTGTAATAGGGGGAAAAAAAAAAAAAAAGACGATAGGACCATTAATAAGCTTGCTGAGGGATTTGATTTACTAGCATGATCTTGACTGCTAACTGGTGGCAAGGTAGAGACCTTTATGGAGCTGCTGTGAAGAGGACTGAGTGGTGCAAAGCTGTGAAATGCTGAGTAATTCACTGAAAATGCAGTGTGCTCAAAACTGAGTTGTTGAGAAGTAGCAGCTTGCAGAGTCCAAGCAAATAGCAAAATGCCTGTATGAGCGGTGTTTGTGTGAAATTCCCATGAAAGTGAAAATGGTGACAAAGGGAAAAGTTAAATGTGCAGGAAGGTGTGAAACACCAGGGCTGTATGGCCTGGTTTGGTTTCTATTGCAAAGGAAGATCCGAGCTGAGATCCCACGGGGCTGAGTGCCGCAGATGGTGCCCAGCAGCGTGCCTTACCTTGAAGTCTTTGCTCGCCCTTGTTACAAGCTGGTGTAAGTTAATGAAAATGCCTTCTAACTGCCTGTAGCAGCTTTGGCCCTCCCGAGCAACTGTTGCAGCTTTGCATAAGAGCTCAACTTCGTCGTCTTTCTGGAAGAAGATAAACGTGGCTTTTATAGACGCTTCCCAGGAAATAAGACTATCTATTGGTGTAGTACAGACACAGCTTCGTTAGCAATAGATTAAAACAGCGCAAATAATCCACTTCAGAATGGCAGGTGGCGAGTACAGACCTCGATGTCAAAACCTAGCCTAAAACTTCCTAGGTGGGGGGGTGTGCACATGAAGGCTGCTCCTGTCTGCTGACCTGCGATTCCTGGGCTCCAGAACCAAGGAGGAGGGTGCTGCCAGGCCTCAGCTGTTGTGGAAAAAAGTTGAGACCAAGCTCAGTGCCAGAGGTGAGCATCCATGTGTTTCATTACGGGCACTGCAAGAACGAATGTCCTCCCTGGCCCCTGGGGGAGCCAGGAACTGCAGAAGCAGACCTTGTGCTGGGAGAAGCTATTTCCTTTGGGGTCTTGGGCAGATTAACCTGCCCTCACCTTTCATTGGATGCTGAGAGGCCAGGCTTGGCTTTGTGCAGCCTGTAGCTGCAGGTGGTGGCGGCTCTGTGCAGCTGGCCAAATGGACTACACGTGTGCTGCGCCAGTGGGCATCCTTGCCCCTGGTGTGAGTGCAAACGGGTGATAAGCTGGCAGATTTCTCTGCCTTACTTCTCATAGGAGAATAATAAAAAATCCACAGGAAGTTTTGCCTCCTTCAAGTGCTTTGAACTGATGAAGTCCCGTACCAGCATTACGTCAAAGTTGAGGTAGTAAGAAAAGTGCCTTCAGTAGTCAAACAAACAAACAAAAAACTACTTAGTTTTCTTCTCTGCTAGGGCATTTCAGGTGCAGTTCTCCAGAAAAAAGAATTAGCAGATAATTACTATGTCTGGTCAGATTTCTTCAGCTTTCACCCAAATGACACCTTTAAGCAGTTTGCTGGTCTGTTCTCCTGGCAGCTCTTGCTAGCTACTGTGTTCCTTAGCCTAGCTGCTTGCCTGCCTCTTGGGGCCGTGCGTGGGACTGCCGAGAGCTGCTGGAGATGGTACTTACTAAGTTCAGGGATGTGGAGTGTGACGCCACGTGTGCTTTTTCTTGGCTGCTGGTGGCATCCAGCTGGATATGAAAGAGAAGTAGGTTGGTTTGTTAGCTCATTCTGCATCTTTGGGAGCACGGCAGGTGACTGGCAGTTATCACCAGAGCCATCCAAGCGTTCGTCCTGGTGGAAGTGGTTATTTTATGCTACTAAAAGATAAAGGGAACCTCACACAACACAGTGCGGAGGTGCTAAGCTGAAAAGTGCAATGACTGAGTACAGGCAGACTTCAGAAAAAGCATCCCCTTCTGTATCAAGCTTGCCTGCTGTATCCCTGCTCTGCTCTGGGGGGCCTTGGCTGTCCCCCTTTCCGCATTCCTCGTCGGGGGAGCCATCCAGTGCCTTCCCGGGGGCCTGCCCCTGCTCGCCTCCCCACGGCACGGAGGCCAGGCCACGTGGGGCCGGGGCCCCTCAGCACCCCGCACCTCCCTGCATCAGCTTTCTGTGAAAACAGGAACTGTAGTGCTGGGGAGCTTGGCTTAGGCAGCAATTTTCAGAGCAGAAATCGGCTGTATTATCTGCTATTAGATCTTCTGCTAGCTGAAGAGCCTTCCTTCAGATAAGTAGGGCTAAAGAGGGATAGTATGTCTAACCAGAACTTGAGATGCAGTGATAGGCATGCGTGGGTGTCTGTGAGACAGCGTGACACACAGCTCCAAGGCAAAGGAAGAATTTCCTCTCTTCCTTTTTGAAAAGCTTTAAAAAAAAAAAAAAAAAAGCTAAAATAGATGCCTATCCCTGCACACCTCCCTGAGCTCCATCTTCCCTGTGAGCGGGGTCACCTGGGCTATCCCAGGCGTGGCTGGGAACAGAAGCAGCCGCTGGCATTTAGCACCAGGTGCTTTTGGCCTGAGGGTGAGGTGTGCGCGGAGAAAGGAGCACGGGCTCCTCCTGTCCCGGGGCTGGGGCACCCTGCCCGCGTGTGACCCGAGCGTGGCCAACAGGCGCTGGCAGACCGCGCTGCCTCGGCTGGGCAGAGCCTCGTGGAGGGTTGTGCGAGAGCAGGGAGGACTGGCGGCTCAAGGACCTGCCTCTCGTGCTGAACGTCTCTCCAGCAAAGCGATAAGCAGATGCGTCTGTGATTGTCCTCTGGGGTTTGGTGATGGGGTTTTTTGTTTGTTAATCCAGTTCCCCACCCCCAGAAGAAGGGGGATAGAAGGCTTCAGTTCTGCGGTCTTGTTGCCCCGTGCTTTCCCCTGGCCCTGAGCGGAGCCTCCCCCCAATACCTCTAACGGCCGTTTATTGTTTCTGAACAAAGATGACTGAGTTTTTCTTTCTTACCTTGTGATCGGCAAAAATATTTGTCACGTTCATCTTGTCACAGGAAGCCTTTATCAAGGAACAAAACAGAGGAGAAATCAGACTAGAGAAATCGGTACCTCGGATCCACCCCGACATGCGTGTTTGTGCTCCTTCCACCCTGCCCGGGGCTGTCGGCTCACCTCGCGGCGTTACTGCGAGATGCAAAGCGGCTCGCGAAGGAGAGCTGTTGACATGCCGCTGCCAGCTCAGCCCCTTTCTTTGACTCAGCATGGCTTTTACCGAGCCTGGTAAAGCAATCCGTCCCTCCCATCAGTCAGCGAAAGGCTGAGCTGCACGAATAGGTACGTACCTTCGTCCTTAAGATTTTGTTCAGCAGCAGGATGTTCTCGTTCAGGAAGTTTGAGCTCCTCAGGAGTGCGGCCTTGTGGCTGTGGCAGGCTAACAAACACAAGAAGGTTAGCAGGACCGGGAACTTAATACTCATGGCCTGGTTATGTTGAACCGCCTCAGTTCACAATTTCTGGATATTTTGGTGATCTGTACCTGTATGTGCTTTTCTGGAAGGAACATCTCTATTTATGGCTGTAAAATTGCTGAACCCACGGGAAAAACTTATTGTTCCTTTATCTGCACTTTCCAAAGTTGCTACTATCCAATTAGGACAACAGTTCTTTTTGTAGAAGTCAAGATTTTCTTCTGATCTTGCATTACGTTTCAACATAGGAAATTTCCACCCTTCAGATAACGCTGGTAGGAGTCAGCTCACATACAAAGAAAAAGTATGTAAAGTACCAGTTATTGCTTCTCCATTTCTCTGCATTCCAAGACTTTTTCTAAATTATGAGGTTAGTGGAACGAGTCCGGATTAGGACCATGGATCTGACAGCACCTAAATGATGGAACTTCACTTTGTCTCTAAATACCCTGTGAGTTCTTCCATTGCTCAGTTGTCATTTCATTTGAATATCTCCAAATCATGCAAAGCGTTGTTCATCTGCATACCATTTTCTGTCTACAAAGTTATCTTAACCTGTGCGCAGAGGGAAACGGAAAGCTGTGCTACAATGCCATGGCTGGGGCCCTCACCTGCAGCATGGGCAACTTCTTTGGTACAAACGGGGACATCACTGTCGCTCCTGGGCTGTGTAGATTTATGGAAACCAGGGGCCCTTCTGGCCAGGTGGGCTCCCCGAAAAAGATGGTGTAAAATTGCTCTTGTGAATCCTGCGGGGACTTAAGTGCGAGGCAGGGAGAAGCTCAGAGCTAACGGCGGTCCTGTGCGTACCCAGCCCCGAAGCCTGTGGTGGCCGGGGAGCTCAGATGCTTGCAGCATGCAATGGCGTTGTGTGACGCTACGTTGCACCATCAGGTGTCTCAAGGCCCTGGAGGCCGCCCTGGTCCTTCCTGCCCGATTTGTGAAAGAGGCTATTAGAGATGAACGCAATGGTCTCTGCTGGCATCACCAGCCAGCGCTGTCTCAGGAAATAACACTGAGAAATTAGCTGAGCTGGGAAAGTTTGGAGTTTTGTAATAACTAATAGGTATTTTTCTAACTCAAATAGCAACTTGCAATCAGATGCTTGATAAGAGTTTGAGAGTACTTTATTAATTCAGGAGCAACCAGGCTGAGAGTAATTTTGTTTGTCTAATGATGAAATGCCCCAGATGAAGTTAGTGCCACTGACTCAGAAAGACCTTTGAAAGGGATTTGCCACCGGAATGCTGCGAGGTTTCCTCCTTGCATCTTTCTCGACGGAAAGTAGATAAGCGCGTGTGTTACGGCTCAGCAGGAGACGGC